CAAAACCCCAAAACCCCAAAACCCCAAAACCCCAAAACCCCAAAACCCCACAAGAGGAAATTCATTAAAAAGTATCAAAACCATAAATAAACAAGGTTTAATGATTATAACTAAATTATTAATTTTTAAAAATTCTATAATAATGGGTTGTGCATCAGCAGTTAATCGCAGAGATGATGATGACTCGAAGCGTATCATTCGCATCGACTTGCAGACAATAAAGTCTACCTCCACGCCTAAAAATGAAATAAACCTAATGAAGTTGACAGAACAGCTGCTTAAAGTTCTGGAAGCACTTTGTGATGAGGACCGATCAAAGTTTGAAAAATTTGAAGAACTGATTATTAATAACACAATAAAGTTGGAGCGGAAGTAGGATGAGGTAACTTACTTGATCAATACAGCTAAAGAACAAATCTAAGTTTTCTAGGACAATGGGTAGATCATTAATCTGTGCTATGATTTAGTCTAACACTTGGTAAGTTAGGCGATTTAAACCTATAAATGCAATTGGGCTCTTTAATTTATACTCACTTACTTATGTTTATAGGCTAAAATGCTTGAGTTAAATCAAAAGACCTTTTCTGAAAAAGATGAATGGTATTACCGCTATTCATATGTACTCATCTATGAAATATCAGAGTTCAAAGGAATACTTGGCTACATTCTAGAAAACTAGCAACTTAAGCTGCAATATGCCAAGAAATCGGAAACTGTCTATCTTTACGCATGTATACTCGGAACGATAAGATTTCTAGAGGTATATATTAAAATATTATTGAGAAAAAACTGATTAACGACACATATTCCTTTAGGGTATTAGTTGGGGGTATTCAGTATTTCTAATGCATCAGCAGTTAGACTATGATAATGTATTAGCTGCTAAAGTGCTGTTTAATCTGATGCAGAGACTGAAGCAGCATTTCAGAGAGAATAAAAATTTCATGAATGCTTTTCAAAATGATAAACCCTCATCCTATCATGCAGAGCATTACTTCAAAAGTAAAGAAAAATGTCATTCTTAAATTAAACTTTTATAGGTGTATTAAGTTACAGTTCGATAGAAAAACTAATTACTGACAATGATGTTAAAAAGGATGACAGGAGAAATAACTACAACTTATATTTGTAGAACTAGGTATTTAGGAAGACATACGTGAGTGTAAAAAAGCAAATGGATGACTGGCTCAGAAAAGTCTATCACATGGATATTGGGGTGCCTGACCTTTAACTATATAGATCAGTCAAAGCCTTCACCAGAAGTTATTTGAGAGACTTGAAGAATCCTATTCAGAAATCAACAACAGGGGAATACAGCAAGCCTCTGCTGGATGTGTCTGGCCTTCCAACATTTGAAGTCGAAAATAGCAACAATATAATGGTTATTGTAGGAAATGACCAAGATACTAAGGTTGTAGTTGAGTCGTTTCTATAAGCTAATGTCAAGACAAGAACAAAGTATAAATGCTGTGTGCTTCATCACTGCATTCGCGAAAACAAAATGACTCATGATCCTTACTACATAGTGAAGAACATCATATTTTCAATTCTAAGAACAGTAACTCCGCTAAAAAACTACATGAAACTGCAGGAGCATAATGTAAGATTCAATCCAATTACAACATTATTTAATTATGATCTTTAGTTTATCAAGGAAATGGTGTAGAAATATGACTAAGACAGACTCGATCTTCAGAAAGATTACCCTGAGCTATTCATTAAATTCCTCAAAGTCCTAAAGGAACTACGTTTGGATTACAACATTGGAGTATTTATTACAGGTATTGAAAATCTATTCGATCAGAACAAACTGGATAACTTCATTTATTTATTGCGATCTGCCTCTATTTACTTTCCTAATTTTATGAAATTCGTCCTGACTCTAGAGTAAAGACCTAAAAAAGATGAAAGAATTTCTAAAATTCTTAAAATACTTGAAACTCAAACTATTGTTAAGATCAATGATCAGGAAGTGTTCACCCATGAGGGTAAAAGCTACCTTGATTTTGCATTTAGTTTCGGTATGGGTCCTTAGGCTTTGTCAAAAGTCACATCTACTGAGGAAATTAGAAAAACTACAAGAAATGAGGAAGATGAAGAAATTAAAGATTAGATAACTAATCCAAGCCAAAAAGATAACATAGAGTTATGCTTGAAGCAGTGTGAAGGGAGCTATAGAAGAGGGATTGAGATGATTAATTCCATTTATAAGAAAAACTTAAATCCCAAAGATTAGATTTAAATTAAGGAATTCATCACTAATTTTGTATCAGAAGAAGGGAACTATCAGAAAGGTGTTGCTTAAGCTCTTGAATATAATAAAGAACTAGCGATTGAAGTGTTGAATGGGCTAGTGTAGTTATTGGGACCCATTCATATATAGACATTCTTATCAACTCTTTCACATTAGCTCTAGGATGAAACTATTCACGATCAATTCAAACAAATCTTGACATTGATTGCTCAAGGAGATATGCTGGTTTTGATGAACTCCTAACTAATAAAAATAAACTCCTAAGTAGCCATTGAGGAGATAATAAGCAACCCTAAGACTATAATGGTCTTAAAACGTAAAACCTTATTCAAATAGGTGTGCATAGGTAACTTCCAAATCAAATTTGAAAAGAACTACTTTCATGACAAGCTATACAGCTACCATACAACTACATTTGAAAATGGGGATATTGAAAATGAGTTCGAGGACTTAGACTCTTACTTTAGAATTTACATCTTCAAACATTTAGGGAAATCGCCTTAGTGTGGCAAAGTTTTCAGTCAATTAGAAAACTTGTTTTGTGTGAAGAACATCTATAAATAGATCCTATATCACAGAAGTTACAGTAGGTTCAGAAGTAAGTTAGCAGAACTCACTGATAGTTAGTTCATTGACAGAGAGGAAAAGCAGTAATTGATATAGTTCTCTAATATACTCTACTTGATTGAATAAACCATAAAGAATGAGCCATTGAACTTCTTAGACTTCTGCACTTAACTTAGGGGCAGAATCCTTGGAGAAACTCTCAATGAATTTTTAACTGACTTGAGACTAGATATCACAAGTGAAAACATTTGCTATTTCAAGAACTTCCATCATGCTCTTCGAGAAAATCCCAGAATAGATACTATCATTAAGATTCCAAGGTGTACTGTGCTAAAAATAAAGTTCTTTATGGACAAGAAGAGGGTTTTGATGTCTTTATCGAATGGACTCATGATTATCTATAACATCATTGACTACAATATCTAGAGGGTGTTTGTAAACAAAATGTCCATCATAGACCTGATTAAGATAGTTGAGGATAAGTATATTATTACTGCAGGTATTGATCCCAAAATCCGAATCCTTAATCTGGAAAATGAAAAGACTATAAGTGAGTTTGAAGCACACTCCTACTCCACACTTCTAATGGCGTGTCACAAAGAATGCATATTCAGCTATGGCTACGATATGAAGTTAATGAAGTATAAATTCAAAGAAAAGAAGCTGGAAAGTTCACTTAGCATGGAAAGCCCTGTCACTGCTATGAAGTTAATTAGAACACTCGAGGAATACAATAAACATAAACTAGCAGTGGGATTGATTAGTGGACTCATAACATTATACGACTTGAACTTGAATCCTTTGAAGAGTATTAGCATAAAAGCAGTTAATGAAGAGATAATCTAGTTAATAAATCTATCAAACACTGAGTTCTTGTGTTTCACCAAAGAAGGAACAATCAACATCCTAAACAACAGCACTCTGGAGGAGTCTAAGAGCGGAAGCATTTTCAACCTTAAGAGTGAGGACTATATCGATCTGATTCTCATCAAGTCCAAAGAGTTCTTCTTGTTTACTCTTGAGAGGTAGAAGATTGAGTTCTACAGTGCCACTACATTCAAAAGAACTGACTCATGGGAGTACTTCTTTGAAAGGGATCTCATTTGCTGCGATAAAAACAAGGAGGGATCCAAAATATTCGTCTCAGACAAGGCTGGATTCACTGTGCTTTTCAATTTTCTGAAGAACATAGACCAGACTAAAGACAATTTAGTCCCTTGCAATAGAAGTAAACTTGTTTATGTTTTATCATTATTAAGGGTATGATCCAGTTATGTGCATTGAGGTAACTGAGAGAGTTGATTCAAATAGCATCATTTCATGTTCATAGGATAGAGATTTGAGGATATGGAGAAGAGATAACGGAGTGTTCATAAAAAAATACGATTTAAGTTCTTTTACTGGCGAGAATATTACTGCTATGAAGCTAGGCAAAGATGAAAACATGCTATTCTTGGGCTCAAAAGACATGAATGTCTACCTCATAGATATTGCAAAGGGAAAGCTCTGTGTGGTCTATGAAGGTCATTGGAGTAAACTACTAAATACTTTTAATATAATTATTATAGACAGAGTGACTTCGATTTACACCATTCCTAACAAAGACATATTGATAACAATTAGTGAGAGCAACATTAAGGTGTGGGACTTGGAGTACGATGAGTGTATAAAGAACATGAATGAGCATAATAGCTCTATTGTTTATATCAATCAATCGCCATAAGATGAGGAACAAGTTATGACCATAGGCTAGTCATTTGAGTTCAAAATTTGGAACTATGTTACAGGAGCAATATCACAGAGTCATGAAATAGAACTAAATAAAGACAAGAAGCAACTAAAGAATTTGAATGTAGTTTGCTGTGATGTTCAGTAAGATATGGCCTACATCGCTTTGAATACCAATGAAATTAGTGTGTACAGTATAAAAGATAATAAAGTACTTTACTCCTTTATTTCTTACAATGGTAAACAATTTCATAATGTTTTATAAAAATTTAGATGAGTAAATCATTTTTTTAAATGGTATCAAGACAGAACATGCTAACTACTTGATTGTTGTTACAAGAACAGCTTGTGTGCTCTACATGGTTCAAAAAGATTAGGTTAAGCGACTTTGCTCCTATCTGGTTAATGCTAGAAAGAAGCCAAAGAAGAAGAAGCATGATAATAAATACTCCTATAATGTCAGATATTATTTCACATCTGCTAAGATAACTCATCTAAGCTCTATATAAAGTAATAACGCCCATGCTTAGCCGAAAAGATTGCTATCCAAAAATATTAACATAACCTCATCAGTGAATGCTGGCTTTATTGATGGTGAGGCTACAGCTTAGTAAAAAGACCTTGGGGTAGGCAGAGAAGATGATGCCTAAACTCAGCATTTTTTTGGAAGCAATATTCCGGGAAGTTAGACTGGCCTTGGAATGGGCTAGCCTAATGGAGGCATGAATGTTTATAGTAATACAAAGATTGTAGACACTATGGGCACCAGAATTAAAGATACCGTAGTACTTGTTTGCCTTGGCGATAGCAGAGGCTTTGTTCATATGAATCATCTTATTTTAAAGTGAAATAGACTCATACAGTTGATTGCATAGCTGTCTTAAAATACAGACTTCAATATATCATGATAATTTTAGTCACAAATTCATCAATTGCTTTTAAAATCTAGAAATCTACTGGGGTTTTGGGGTTTTGGGG